CACTCCAGTTTCCAAGTCAGGAGCTGACAAGGCTGCGCAGTCAGCTGTCAGCGGCAGCGTGGGCCGTTCTCGCATGAGTTTGCGGAGGTCTTGGCAGCGGCCATCAATCACGTCCATTTCCACTGGCGCTCCACGGACCTGCTCCGCGTTGGCGCGAACTGCAAAATATTGCTCCTCCACGCCGTCGTCCCCTTCGCTTTCAGATTCCTCGCCGGCGCCTTCGTTTGACTCCGAAACGATGCCTTTGTCTCTGTCAGTTGCCTCCACAGCCGGCGTTCCTGCATTGCCTGGGAACTGGAACCCCAAGAAATCGAGCACGTCCGTGACGCACTGACCTCCTTCAGTCGCCGCGACACCCGGCATCGCCGAGGCGGCGCCCTGGCTCTCCGCAGCATTGACGTGGTCGTCGCAACCGGCGTCGCATCCACTATGCATGTCGAAAGCCTCCTTCAGATGCAATCCAGACCTTCCGCCAGTCGCGCGCCGTCCAGCGCGCGCCTCGGGCGGCGGCGGCGGCAGCGGGGCGCGCTCGGTACTCTCCCCGTGCTTCTCTCGTTCGACTTCCTCGTCTGTCCTTGCTCGCTTTGCCAAGGCACTCCCATCCTCCTGCCGCGTCGCCTGCCACGCCGCTCCATCGTTCCCGTCTCCGCGGCTTCTCTCTTCGGCAGGGGGACGTGCCGGGGCTCTTTCTCCCTGGGTTTTCGGGCGCTTCGCCTCTCTGTGCCCATCATCTTCAGTGGAGCGATCGCCGCCCGGGATTTTCCCATGCCCAGGCAAATGCTCCTGCGGGCAAACTCGCAGCCGCTCGAAGTGTGTTCGGACGGCACCCGGCCCGCCGTTGTCTCGAAGGGACGTGGCGACCACCGGAAGGCTCGGGTCTCCGACGTGCGAACGCGCGTGCGTCAACTCGTGCGTCGCAGAGCAGTGCACGAATATGACTACATTCTGCCTCTTGCAACGCGCCGGCGCAAGCAGTTCGATGTCGCTGAGATAATAATCTGCGCACGTACTCATGGCTTCCAGGTAGGCGGGGTAGACGGCATTGAGGAAGTTTGCGGGCAGCCCGGCAGATTGGTAGTTGCACTCCCTGGCCTTGTCCACAGACTCTGCGAAAGCCGTTATAGGTTCCAAGAAGACGTCGCCATCGAAATCGAGGCCGTCAACCACGTCGTGGATCTTACTGAAAAACAAATCGAATGAGTTCTGGAGGCGCGCATCTTCAACGACACTTCTGTGCCACTCTCGAGCGCCAGCGGTTCCCGCGAACAGCGCCTCGTATTTCTCTAAGCGGCCGTCTTCCCGAAGTTACTCATCATGATCTTCTGTTGTGTACCATATCCAACAGCCCCAGGACCGCATCAAAGGCAATATGAAAACATCCTCAAATTCTTCGACGCAGAGAGAACCAAACTCTTGCATTACCCTTGCTTTACACTCCCTGTGCACTTCAAACTTATGCACTTCTTCCCGGCAGGCCTCAACGCAGAGCTGAGCCACGTCGAAATAGGATTCCAGAAGGCAGTGCCACACGTGCTGTCCTTCGTTATCTCCCGCGTGCAGCGGAGCACCGAAGGCAACCCACTGCCTTCGCAAAAGTTGGATCATATCCCAAAGGCCCATTCCATATCGCCATCGCCCTGCAGCTCCCTCGGAAGACAGCCTCCAATTGAATATTTCAGCAGTGGGAACCGAATGCGTCGCGAAGAAACACCGAGCGTCGCGCTTGAAACAGGCTTCGCCCCACCCCGACAAAAGAAATACGCCCCACACAGAATGGATTGCGCACGCGCCGTCTCCGGCCGTAGGTATCGTTTCCATCAGCATCCCCTGCAATTGCCGCACCGCTGGAGGCAAGGGAACGGGAACCTCACGCAAGTCCACGAGTGGCATCCGCGCGGGATCTGCCGAACGCCCTCAGGTGTTGGAAAGAAGAGCGTCCGTGCGGAGCGAAGCTCACTGCACAAATGGTAGGCGGAGCTAACAGTAAGCCACAGGGAGATTGCTGGGGAATGGCCGAGAATGGCTTGGGCCAACTTGGCTTGGGCCACAATGGCTACGGAAAATCGCTAGGGAATCGTAACCCCTTCGACCCCCTGATGGCAAAGCCCTTGTGGACCCTAGCCTTTGTCACACTCCCTTGTGAACCCGAGTCCCTTGTCACGACCCCCAGGAACCAGCAATAGTGAAATCCCCAGAGCCAGCACGATCAGTAAACCCGATAGGAGCCCGAAAAAAACCAGGCACACGCAAAGGCGAAATCGGAGGAACCAGCAAAGGCGAGATAACAGGAACCGACAAAGGAACCAGGACCCAGCCGGGGCAGTGAAGGGGGGGGCTCGGGCCAGCAGCTCGGTTGGCATCGTGCTCACCAGTGGACGGAGATTACGCACAGTGTTTCTTATGTTTTCTGTAAGACTGGCTGAGCTATGCTCATTGCCTCCACAGACCGTGCGAGCATGGAGGCGAATGGGGTGCACTAGCGCGGTTACCAGACGTTGCGATTCAAATTCCACAAGGGGTCACCTGTGGATGGTGGTTACGGAACATGTCTCTTATTGTTGGTGGACGACGGGCTGAGCTATGCTCATTCTCCCACAAACCTTGCGAGCATGGAGACGCATGGGGCTCACTAGCGGGGTTACCAGACTTTGCCATTGGAGCGACGTTGAAAGATCGCTGGTACAGCCTCTCACGAACTCCACACGCACGAGGCGCCCGAAACGACTCAAACTCAGGACGAGGGCCCGAACGACTCACAACCACGAGACCCGAACGACTCACATGACACAAATGAGGCCCGAACGACTCCACCACCAGGACGAAAGCGGGCCCGAACGACTCAACCACGAGGAGCCCGAACGACTCACGACGCAAGGAGGCGCCCCGAACGACTCACACCAGGACCAGGGGCCCGAACGACTCACACCACGAGGAGCCCGAACGACTCACACACAAGGAGGAGCCTGAACGACTCACACCAGGTCGAGGAGCCCGAACGACTCACACCACGAGGAGCCCGAACGACTCACACACAAGGAGGGGCCCGAAGGACTCACACCACGCAGGACGAGGGGCCCCGACGACTCACACCACGAGGAGCCGGAACGACTCACATATCTGCGACGCACAGAAAACCGACCTCCTGCATTATCTCTGTCTTGCGCTCCCTGTGCAGTTCGAATTTGTCCAGTTCTTCCCGACATGCCCTCCAACGCAGGCCCAGACGCAGAGCAGCGTCGAAATGAATTGAAGAAGGCAAGACAAAAGAAGAAAAGAGAAAAAAAGAAAAGAAAAAAGAAGAAACAAAAAAAAAATAGAAAAAAAAAAAAAAAAAAAGAATAAACAAAGAAAAAAAATAGAAAAGAAAAAGCCACACGTGCTGACCTTCGTTGTCTCCCGCGTGAGCGGAGCGCCGAAGGCAACCCACTGCTTCGCAAAAGGTTGGGTCAAATCCCAGAAAGTGCCCATTCCATATCGCCCAGCAGCTCCTCGGAAGACAGCCTCGATTTGAATATTTCAGCAGTGGGACCGAATGCGTCGCGGAGGAACGACCGAGCGTCGCGCTTGAACAGCTCTCCCCACGCCCACTCGCCCTACACGGAATGGAAAGAATAGGGTCCGCGCCGAGCTAAGCTCACTGCATAAATGGTAGGCGGAGCTAACTCACAACCACAGGGAGATTCCTGGGGAATGGCCGAGAATATCTTGCGCCTACTTGCGTTGGGCCACAATGGCTACGGAAAATCGTCGGGGGATCGCAATGCCTTCGACCCCTTTTTGGCAAAGTTCTTCTGGGCCCTATCATCTCTCACACTCCCTTGTGAACCTCCGTCCCTTGTCACGACTCCCAGGAACCAGCCGTAATGAAATCCCAGGAGCCCGCGCGACTACTGAACCCGATAGGAACCAGAAGAAAAAGCAGGCACCAGCAAAGGCGAGATCGGAGGAACCACCGAAGGCAAGCTGACAGGAACCGGCAAAGGAACCAGGGCCCAAGAAAAGCGAGATCCCAGGGACACGAATCAAACGAATCAAATGAGGCAGAGGCGGAGGAGGAGGACTGTGAACAGGGCACATATGTTCTCGCACAGGCCTTCGAGCCTGGTCGACTAGGTCGAAGAGCAGGCAGCGGTGCTCAGGCGCTCAGGCAGCGGCGCAGCGAGAGATCTCGGCGATCGGTGGCCCCTCAAACGTGTGGAAAGAGTCTGGGTCGACGGGCAGCGATACCACCCATTACTGATTGAGCGGTGCATCACAAGGTAATCCCACCAATGAACCATCACTGAATAGAGTCACCAGCACCATCACCTGCCAGGGTAACCAGCACCATCACAGAGTACAGTAACCAGCACCAGAGAACCCAAGTACGGGCTCCAGCCAGTTTGCAATACAAGTCCCACCAGCGGGATGTTTCCTATACTAGAGCCCACCTGAAGCGCCACGGAAGATGAGTAGAGGCACATCCACCTTCAGAAGGAGTGTTTTACGCTCGTCTGCTTCGCCCGCAGAAACTCCGAACCCCGGGTCCACCATCGGCCGAAACGCCACGGTCGCGCCCAGGCCAGTCCCCGCGTTCTGGCGCGCACCCGCATCGCATGTCTCGCGCACAATGCGAAAATAGTCCTCCTCCAAAAACTCCCTGAAGCTATCATGAGCGCCCGCCCCACTGAGTTCGACGACTTCAGCAATCTCCTCCCAAGCTGACCACAAATTCTTGTCCAGCGACTCCAACAATTCAGGCCTCGTGGCCGACGCGGCATCTCGAGCGAAAACCTTCTTCTCCCATTATTTTTTTTTTTTTTTTTTTGTTTTTTTTATTTTTTTTTTTTTTTTCTTTTTTTCGTTTTTTTTTTTTTTTTTTTTTTTTTTTTTTTTTTTTTTTCTTTTTTTTTTTTTGTGTTTCATTTATTTTTTTTTTTTATTTTTTTTTTTTTCTTTTTTTTTTTTTTCTTCTCCCCGTCGCCGATCGACTGCGGGGAGATCAGCGGGATGAACGTTGACTGGGCAAACCGGTGAGCAAATGTCCTGGCATCAAGCGGTTGCTTGGCGAGAAAATCGCGCACGTGCTTGTAATAGAAATTGAGGGCCCACAGAGCATGCTTCTCGTCAATGGACGTCGCTGGATCACCAGGACTATTATTGAAGTACTGCTCTTTCTGATAATCAATGTAGCTCTGAATCTGCACAGCATCCAACTTCTCGAAGAGACTCATGGCTTGCTCGGCGGCATTCTGCTCGTCGTCCGCTCGCAAATCTATCGGGCGGATGAGCGGGAATTCTTTCGCCGCCGCTCGAGAATGCAGTTCATCCACCAACGTGGAAATGTCCTCCGCCAACTCCTCGCCGCCAGAACCTGCATCGCCCGGCGATTCGAGCAGCGTCGTCAAATCAGCCCTCGTAAACGATTTGTCGATCGGCCAGCCCCTTTCCGCGAAAACCTTCTTCAGCGACTCCACTGTCACCGCTTCGGCACTTGCGCCGCTACTCGCAGCATCGGCGCGACACCCTTCCAGGAACACGTGCAAGCCCTCAACGCCAGGCTTCTGCATGGCTTTCTCTGCCGCGCCGTCCGCTTGCACAGCGATGTTGCCGAAAGACGCCTCCGCAGCCTCGTGGAAGGTCGAAGTGGACATGGCCCGAGCGCCGCGCTGGCGGTTTGGCAACCTCGCTAAACGGTGTAGAATCGCAAAAGCTGAGTGAACAACGGCTGAGCTACGCTCACTACCGATGATCTCCAAGGCGCGCTCGACTCGAGCCCGCGGCTCGCAACAGTGCGCCAACCCTGAGTGCGCGAACCCAACGTGCGCCAAAACCCACTAGCAACGCAGTACATGCAACAACCAGATCTGCGACGGGGATCACTCAAATCCGCAACGACATGCAAATCTACGCCACCTACATGCCCCTCGTTCCCGCCGCTCGCACTGAGGAGCGGAGCACTGATATCGCGCACCCCTCAGAAGCGAGCACAAATGCGACGCATTGCACCAATGCCAAGCTGAGTTCACTGCACAACTACTAGGCGGAGCGAGCTCAGAACCACAGGAAGATTGCTCATAGGCGGAAGCGATTGCTGGCACGCAGAGTTAAGCTCACAGGCACTGTTCAACACTGTGAGCCAGAATGGCAACAGCGACGACAACGCTGCAGGAAATATGGACTTGGGCCAGTTCTGAGCGGCTTGGTGACTTCGTGTCCCTTCTTTGGAGCCTCTTGGAGCATCACGAGGCTGCTGCGGACCTCTGGATTTCCTCCAGCGGCTTCCCCGGAGCCTCTGCCACCCGAGAGCGACAAGAGCGACGAAACGATAGCCTGGATCTGAGAGCCCTCCGCATTCTCATCCAGACACGAACGCGTCTAGAAGAACGCCATGCGTCAGCTGATGGTAGCTCAGACACTCCCACGCCCCACCTCCTCCCCCTCCCTCATGACCACCCATTCCCACCCTCCTCCCTCAGGCGCGGGCGCGCACTGCGCCCCTGACATGACATCTGCCCGCTGTGCGCTCGAGGCGCATCTGACGTGCCATGTCGACGAAGGGAAAGGTGAATGAAGAAAGGGAGGCGCGATGATTGCGACTACTGAGGGTAGCTGTGTTCCACCTGCGCATTGGCTTCAAACGCGCGCTATGCCAACGAACCGTTGGTCTGCGCATTTCGCACCTTACTGCGGCCATGCCGCTGCAATGAAAAACGCGCGCACCGCCGACGAAGTCAAACACTTTACTGCGCCAGCTGAAGTGCACCACTCGTGCCCCGGTACTCGCAGCTGTTCGCGGATGCACGGTCCGCAGAGTGCCACGCACAGAGCTGCGATTCCAGGTCGAGCATCTCGAACGGGGGCAGCCGCGGCGGTCCGGCCCAATCTGCACGGATGCTCTGCGACAGCAGCGCCAGCGCCGTGTCAGCCCCAGCCAAGGTCACGCTTCGACCCACGAGCAGGCGAAGTGCGGCCAAGCCCGTGGAACCAGCGAAGCCGCGGGTCGCAACTGACGCCCACTGCGCCAGCTCCAGCTGCGACAACAGCACCGGCATGAATTCAACTGTGTATCCCCCGATTGGCAGGCCAGGCCCGCACAAAGCATCCATGGCGCTCGACGCGTTGCCTTCTTGAAGTAGGGCGCATGCCCCTGGGGCTCGGCGTGCAACACCAAGCGCTAAGGAGGCAAGCCGTCGAGCTTTGCGCCGAGCACACGCCCGGGTGCCTGTGAGAAGCGACCGCCCGCGGCACACGCGAATGCTGGGGTTCGCTACCGGCACCTCATCCGCTGCTAGGCCGAGCTAAGCTCACAGCCACACTTCATCACTGTGAACCAGAATGGCAACAGCGACGACAACGCTGCAGGAAATATAGACTTGGGCCTCTCCTGAGCGCCTTGGTGAAATCGTGGCCCTTCCTAGAAGCCTCTTGGGGCCTCACGAGGATGCTGCGTGCCCTCTGGTTTTCCTCAGCCAACTTCTCGGGAGCCTCTGCAACCCGAGACCGCGCCATCTCGGTCCGCATTCCTTCTGGACCCCTCTGGGAGCGCTCTTTGAGCCTTCTTCGGAAATCTGGGGAGCCTCCTGGGCCGTCTTGGGGCTTGGGCCGTCTTGGACCGAACTGAAGAGCCTCCAACGCGGTCCGAGAGCGTCGGGGAGCGGGGACAGCGACAAGACGAAAAGCGTTACCCTCGCGCGAACTGTATCCTCATACAACAATCGTGAAGGCGTTCGCGCGCGCACAACCGCAACTCCGATCGCGAGACGGAGAACAAGGAGGAGGAGCCCGAACGACTCAACTCCTGGAGTGATTCGTTGAGGCCCCGACGGGCGTCGCCATTTTTCAACGAATGCGGCGGAAGAGGCGACGAAGGAGCAGGAAGACGAGGCACTGAAACATACACGGCGGATGAGCAAACATAACAAAGGAAGACGTCGAGAAGAAGGAAGAGGAAGCGCGTCGTAGATGAATCCTCATCGTCGGCGTCGCCGTCGTCGTCGTCGTCGTCGTCGACATCGTCGTAGTCGTCGTCGTCGTCGACGTCCTCGTCGTCGTCGTCGTCGACTTCGTCGTCGACGTGGTCGTCGTCGTCGCCGTCGCGTCGCCGTCGCGTCAGCGTCGTCGGCGTCGTCATCGTCGACGTCGTCGACGTCGTCGTCGTCGGCGTCGTCCACCGATTATCACTGCTGCGCAACGACGACGCTCTCTGCTTCGGCGCCTTCTGTAGCCGACAGACTTGAAATCTAATCGCCTCACTGAACAAGCCCTTCACGTCTGCAGCCTGAGCTTCTGTCAGATACGCGAACTGGATGCCTACATCCTCAGACTGGGTGGCCCTCGCGTCTCTTCCGACGCGCCGCGGCGCTTCGACATCGTACATCACATCGTCATATCGTACGTCACATCCACCAACATACATCTGGACACCGCTCAGGCCCCTGTCCTTCATGGCTGTGGCTATGCGTCCAGACTGGCAGACCCTATCGAAGCAAAGGTCGCCGTCTTTCTCTCTGACCCAAGTTCTCCATGCCAACTGCGCTCAGGCATTGGAAGGAGGAGGGTCAGTGCCGAGCTAAGCTCAGCAAATGGTAGGTGGAGAGAACTCGCAGCCACAGGGAGATTGCTACTAGGCAAGAGCGATTGCTGGTAGGCGGAGCTAAGCTCACAGCCACACTTTTTTTTTTTGTTTTTTTTTTTTTTTTTTTTTTTTTTTTCTTTTTTTCTTTTTTTTTTTTTTTTTTTTTTTATTTTTTTATTTTTTTTTTTTCTTTTTCTCAACACTGAGACCCAAAACGGCCACAGCGACGACAACGCTGAAAGAAATATAGACTTGGGCCTCTCCTGAGAGCCTTGGTGACCTCGTGGCGCTTCCTGGGAGCCTTTGGAAGCCTCACGCAGCTGCTGCAAACTCTTTGGATTCTCCTCCGGCACCTTCCCTCGGGCCTCCACACCCCGAGACAGCGCCATCTCGGTCCGCAGTCCTCCCTGCACCCTCTTGGAGCGTTCTTTGAGCCTTTTTTTTTTTTTTTTTTTTTTTTTGTATATTTTTTTTTTTTTTTTTTTCTATTTTTTTTTTTTTTTTTTTTATCTTCTTTTTTTTTTTTTTTTTTCTTTCTGTTTTTTCTTTTTATTTCTCATTTTTTTTTTTTTTCTTTTTTTTTTTTTTTTTTTTTTTTTTTTTTTTTTATTTTTTTTTTTACTTTTTATCTTCTCGTGGGAGATCTGAGAGCCTCCTGGGCCGTCTTGGGCCTTGGACCGTCTGGGCACGAACTGCAGAACTTCCAAAGACGTCCGGGAGCGTCGGGAAGCGGAGTAAGCGACAAACCGAATAGCGTTACCCTCACGCGAGCAGTATCCTCAGACACCAATGGAGAAGGCAGTCGCGCGCGCACCACCAAGTATTCCGATAAGAAGAAAGAGGAAAAGGAAAGGGAGCCCGAACGACTCAACTGCTGGTGCGAGTCGTTCGGGCGCTTGCGACTGACGACATGTTCGACGAACTGGGGGGTGAGGAAAAGAAGTACCAGGAAGAAGAGGCAAGGAAACATACCAGGAGGATCAGCAAACATAAGAAAGGAGAAGGACGACAAGGAGGAGGAAGAAGCGCGTCGTCGATGAGTCGTCGTCGACGGCGTCGTGGTCCTCATCGTCGTCGTCGTGGTCGTCATCGTCGTCGACGTCGTCATCCCCTTGAACCGTCTTGGAACGAACTGAAGAACCTTCCACGCCGTCCAAAAACGTCGGGAAGCGGAGTCGGCGAGATGACGAATGGCATTACGCTCGCGCGAGCGATATCATCATACAACAAACGTGAAGGCATTCGTGCGCGCACCACCAGAATTCCGATAACGAAACGGCGGAGAAGGACGAGGGGCCTGAACGACTCAGCTCCTGGTGTGAGTCACTCGGGCCCCTACGGCTGTCGACATTTTCAAAGAACTGGACAGAGGAGGAGAAGAAAAAGCAGGACGACGAGGCTCGGCAACATACAAGGCGGACTAGCAAACACAACAAAGGAAGACGACGAGAAGAAGCAAGAGGAAGCGCGTCGTCGATGAGTCCTCGTCGACGTCGTCGTGGTCATCATCGTCGTCGTCGTCGTCGTCGACATCGACGTCGTCGTCCTTGTCGTCGTCGTCGTCGTCGTCGCGGTATGATGGCGCTGGCGCAAAAGTAGTCACAGGAACGCAAAGGATTCAACATAAAGCAAAACAGTACAGATAACATTAAATGTAGTACATCTGCAACTGCAAAATTGCCAGCAGTCTATGTCATCCATTGACAGCCTTTCAACACTTATACAGCCTGATGTAAGCCTTGAAGAAGTCTCAAGCTTCAGCATGGCAGCCTTCTATAGTACTGCAGCCTGAAGATCTTGGGTCCTTGCAGCAAAGTGGCGGGATAGACCACAGACCACTAGATATCCTGTGGCGGGATAGGCCGAAGGCCAGTGGATAGCCTGTGGCGGGAAAGGCCGAAGGCCACGTAGATAGTCTGGAGCTCTTCGATCCCTGGAGGCCCTTTCGTGGCACTTTAAGCCTGCAAGAGTTGGGGGGGCCTTCTTCCTGCTTTGTTTGGTTTTTCGTTCTTTCGTGAGCAAGGGCGGGCGCAGTTCAGCCAGCGCGTTGCGCAGCGCACGGCGCACCTACTGCGCACGAGCGCGGTAGACGAAGCGTCGGAGGTTCGACTTCCAGGCCTGGCCAGGGCCCGATCGACCCCCAAAGAACAAATCGCCGCCTCCCGAGCTGCAAGGAGGGACTGCTGCAGCGAACTGGAAGCCGAACTGTGAAGCCACTGTTGCCTGTCGGGGACCTCGACCTCGACCTCGACTGTTCGGCCAAGAAGCTCACGATGGGAGCCTGAAGGTAGGGGTGCCAGACACTGGAGCACTGGAGGGAACGACCAGGATGCCACCAGGACGTGAGGCTTGCCCCAGAACGGCCACAGACAAGGGGAGGGGGGGCAGGAGGGAGCGGGCGAGTAGAGGGTTTGAAAACATGTGCGAAGCGTTTCGCCAGAAGGCGCAATTTCAATAAGGTCCTGGGGCCTGAACTCTACGGGTATTGGGAGTTAGGGAGGGCCTAAGCCTCAAGCTCTCGGGGCCGACGTCGCCTACTGGGGCTGGAGTGTTAGCTCCCTGTGCGGTGCCCCCCACAGTATTACCCCCTCCTCCTCCTCCTCCCCCTCTTCCCCCACCCCCCCACCACCACTCCCCGATCGGGGAGGGGGGGCGGAGGGTGACGGAGGGGATGGGAACATATAAGGGGCAATCGTATCTGCGGCAAGGACGACAAGCGACAATACGACGACCCACTCGCAGGGCGAGACGCTCGTAAGCCCACCCACCGTTATCTCCTGACCCTCCTCCCTCAGCCTCCTCTCCATCTATCCCCCTCCCCCCTTATCCCTCGTCCTCCCTCGGCCTCCTCCGCCGTTTTGCCCAGCGACCTTCAGACTGGCCGACATATTCGGCCTGGCGACGCCGCCACTCCGCCTCCGTCGGCTTGCGCAGCGCCTTGTCGAGGGCCCCTCGCCTGCAAGCCCGCGCGCTGACCATGGCGAGCCGCGAAACCTGGCCATGGTCGGCGCGCGGGCGCACAGGCGAAAAGCCCCCCCGAACCATGGCTTTCTTGTAGGCGTCCTGGTAGTTGTCATACGCCAAGTCTGCCCGGCGCCTGTACTCCGCTGCTTTCGCCCCCTGGCGGTCGGCCCCCTCCTGCACAATGACCCACGCGCTGCGCGCGTGAATCGTCTCGCGCCAGGCCGCCGCGGCCTCGGTCTCCGCGGCGGCCTCCGCGTCGGCGGAGGTCGTGCCCGCGGCGGCATCGGCCGCCCCAAGGCCGGGCGCGGCCTCGGCCGCCCCCGGTTTGGGCGCCTCGTCGGCCGTCTCGGTCGAGGTTGCCTCGGCGGCCTGGGCGGCCGAGGAGTCCTCGACCCCTGCAGAGCCCTGAGCGCCCAGCAGGCGCCAGACGACACTCGGCTCCTCGAGCCGCTCGCGCTTGGGCGGTGGCTCCCCAGCCATAGCCTTCGAAAAAAACGGCCAGGCTTCGACCAAAGCGGCTAGGCCCAGCGGCTGGGCTCACCTCCTGTTCCTCCTTCCGCGCCCAATGGGGCCACGAGGCGCGCGAGGTGCGCGCCGAATAGGTGGGGGGAGTGGGGGGGGGGCGCGCGAGAACACCGTCACCGACGCTTTTGGTGGAACTCCCAATGTGGCCACCAAACGTGCAAGGGGCGCAGCGCGCGGGCCCCGCGGGGCCTTCGGTGGAGCTCCCGCGGTGCCACTTAATAGCGTGAATGGGGCTTGCGAAAGCGGCGTCGGGTAGGGAATGAGGAGGGGGGCATGCGCGCCCACCGACGGGCCCTGAAGCATGACACGTCCAACAACCGCGCGGATGGAGGGCGGGTTGCTTCCAGGATGCAGCTCTCGCCTTAGCGTCGCGCACACTCGTCTTGAAAGTTCCCACATTTACAATGCGCAGACACCAGAGCTTCCTTACGCGCGCGCGCGGTGACCCCATGGTGGCGCGAGCTCCCTGGTGGCCCGAGCACCATGGCGGCGCGCGCCACATGTGACCACATGGTGGCGCGCCACATAGGGGACTTGAACTCGTCGTCGTCGTCGTCGTCGTCGACATCGACGTCATCGTCCTTGTCGTCGTCGTCGTCGTCGCGGTATGATGGCGCTGGCGCAAAAATAGTCACAGGAACGCAAAGGATTCAACATAAAGCAAAACAGTACAGATAACATTAAATTTAGTACACTTGCGACTGCCAAATTGCCAGCAGTCTATATCATCCATTGACAGCCTTTCAACACTTATACAACCTGTTGTAAGCCTTGAAGAAGTCTCAAGCTTCAGCATGGCAGCCTTCTATAGTACTGTAGCCTGAAGATCTTGGATCCTTGCAGCACGGTGGCAGGATAGACCACAGACCACTAGATATCCTGTGGCGGGATAGGCCGAAGGCCAGTAGATAGCCTGTGGCGGGAAACGCCGAAGGCCACGTAGATAGCCAGGAGCTCTTCGATCCCTGGAGGCCCTGTCGTGGCACTTTAAGCCTGCAAGAGTTGGGGGGGCCTTCTTCCTGCTTTGTTTTTTCCTTTCGTGAGCAAGGGCGGGCGCAGTTCAGCCAGCGCGTTGCGCAACGCACGACGCGCCTACTGCGCACGAGCGCGGTAGACGAAGCATCTGAGGTTCGACTTCCAGGCCTGGCCAGGGCCCGATCGACCTCCAAAGAAAATACCGCCTGCCCCCTCACCCCCTTGGCAGCGAGGGGAAGGGTTCAAATTCTGTGCGTGTGTTTATGTTTTTTTTGTTGTTGTGTATGTGTGTGTTTTGCGTGTGTGTGTTTGCATGTGTGTGCGTGTGTGCGTTTGAGGGAGCTGGGTGCCCTAATTTCGCAAGGAGGCGAGATCGTGCAAATAAAAGCTCGACTGTGGCGCGTGTCTGGGGCATCCCGCGGCGGCCGCCGCGCCTGCATGTCCTCGGGCGTTAGCCGCAACAACGCTGCTGCCACGAGGGCGGGGCCAATGGGGCAAGGAGCGAAACATGCATCACAACAAAAAGTGGCGAGCCCGTAAGCGTGATGGCCGATGTAACCTAATTCAGCAACGCTGCCACATCGAGGCAAAACCACTGGTCGCGAGCGTTCCGCTCGCCCTCCAGAGTGAAGAGGCTCCGAGGAGTGCCCCCCCTGTCGTCGCCGTGGCGTCGGCGTCGTCGGCGTCGCCGTTCACGTCCTCGTTGTCGTCGTCGTCGTCGTCGTTGTCTCGACGGCGTCGTCGTCGTGTCGTCGTCGTCGTCGTCCTCCGCGTCGTCGTCGTCGTCGTCATCGTCGTCGTCGTCGTCGTCGAGCGGTCATCGTCGTCGTCGTCGTCGTGGTCGTGGTCGTCGTCGTCGCCTTCGCCGTTTTCAACGTCGTCGCCGTCGGCGTCCTCCACCGATTATCACTGCTACGCACCGAAGACGCTCTCTGCTTCGGCAACTTCCGTAGCAGACAGACTGGGAATCTAATCGCCCCCGCCGAGCAAGAGCTTCACTTCTGCTTCGTAAAGTTCTTGCAGAGATACTAACTGGATGCCTACCTGGTCGGACTGGGTGGCCCTTTCGGCTATTCCAGTGCGCCCTAGCGCCTCGACATCGGACTTAAACACGTCACCCAATGCACCAACGCAGAGCCACGTCTCCTCAGTCAGTTTGCGGAAGTCAAGAACGGGTGATTGCATCGCAGGTGTGGGTTCAGATGTAGACTCGTCTGGCTCGGTCTCGTCGCAGATCACCAACGCGGAGTCCAAGGAGCCTATTGAATTGTTGCACGCGAGGCACGCAATTCTCACCGCGGAATACACCAAAGCCGCCCACCTCCAGCTCTTGCAGAGAACTACGATGCCGCCCAAGAGGTAAGACTGCTCGTGGTCCACTGCCCCTCCGCCAACATACATGTAGACCACGCTCTTGCCCTTGTCCTTGATGGCTGTGGCTATGCGTCCGGACTGGCAGGCCTTGTTGAACCAAAGGTCCCCGTCTTCTTCTATGACCCGCATTTTATGCAGTTCTCTGCTCACACGCGCATGCGACACGAGGTCCTTCTCCAGCACGAACGACAGAAACCAGGCCAGGCTGCAGAGTGCTGTCATAGCGCTCTCGACCTCCAGACCCGCGTGAGCATGAAGGAATGGGAAGCAGAGGCGCGTCACGCCTTTGCCTGCTTCGGAGCTCACCTCTGCGGTGGCGCACGGCAGCAACAAATGGCCGAACGTCATGCCTGGCATCCAATCCATCAAGTCCACATCGCGGCTCACCTTGTCGTGCATCTATTGCACGTCCCATCGCTCGGCTGCCGCTCCATGACCCAAATTCCGAAGCGACCTGGTGGACTCGCGCACGAATTGCGCAAGAGAGGTGCCTGCGCCGGCTGCTTGCGCTAGGACATCATCGAAGGATTTGTAGTCGCTGCGTCCCTGGCCGAGGGTCGGCAAGTTTGGAATCTGGTTCCGCTCCAGCTTCCACCACACCTCATTAGCGATGTCATGCACACGACGAGCAGCATCATGTCGAAGCCAAACCGCAAAGCAGTCGTGATACGACGCTCGTATACTCTGGCGGTCCTCGATAATGCCCCACGGAAGCTTGTTGTCCCAGATGTGTTCGTTCTTGCGCTTCGCGTGCGCGGAGCAAAACTCGTCCTTGGACCCACCGCCGACATACTCATGGCGCGCGTCGAGCGGCATTCCTGGATGCCCGAACGGTTGTACTTCTACCCACATACAAGTCTTCATCACCCCGCGCGTCACGTTGATGTACTCTTGGTTCAAGTTCTTTTGCGTCCCAGCATATTGGTCCTGAGCACCCACTGTGCGACGATGCCGCACGCAGTGAACTATAGGGACGCTCTCCCCCCTCACATTCAAAGGGAGCGACACTTGCACGACCCCTGGGCCCAGACTTGAGTCATAGAAAGCAGCTTGCATCAAGCAACACAGCGGGATTGCTGACCGGCTCAAAGGCATGATGATCAGCACCGTTGGTCGTGGGAAAGCTTGCCCCTCCCGCTGGAGACTCCTGTACTCGCTCAAATCTGCGGCAACGGCGCGGCATAAACATTCGAACGAGAGAGGGTGCCAACCGACTTCATCACCGCCCCGCACTGGGCTCCTCCACCATTGGCCGCCGTCGTAGAATACGTGCTGCAATGTGGTGTCACGAGCGACAGCGGAGTCAGAAGCAAAAGTGTTCGCGAACTCAAAGCAGTGCGCCACGTAGTTGCACACGTCCTTGCCGCACTTTTTGCAAACGTCGAGGACTGCATTCTCGGCCTTTTGGCACCATTCGTACCACGGACGGGCCTCAGGGACGGCCACGCTTCCTGTCAGAGCAGACGGCGTGGGCTGAGCTACGCTCACTCCCATCGCGGTGTAATCCTCGCCATCACCTTCCAGGCCATGCGGAGCGAAGGGCAGCGCGCCGACCGCGCTGTCGGAGCTGAAGGTGGATCGGGAACGCCGGCCACCGACATTCTCCACTCTCTGATGCTGGCCCCCAACCATGAGCAATGTCTGTACAGACACGTTCGCCAAGGCAGCTACTACCTGGGAAACGTCGTAGGACTCAAACTCTTCCATGCAGAACAGGCTGATCTCCAGGCGATCCAACAAACGGTTCAGGTATCCTTTAATGGCTCCCGCCCGCCACTTGACGAAATAACCCATTGTTAACACGGTGAGAGAACCCTTGGTGCCTTCATTGATGACGTCCTCCCAGAGCTCCGCCCTTCTCCGTTTGATGGCGAAGATCTGTAGCATGTGCTGGCGAGCATGGCCGCGGAACTCCTCCAACGCCGCGAACTCAGCGTCCCAAGCCACGACAACAGAGGCCGCTGGCAAGTCCTTCCAGGAGGTGCGGAACTCCATGATACTCTGGAAAGCAGGGCGTAGACGCAAAGCTTCCAGCTCTTGCACCTCTGCGCGCAGAAAGTGCAGCTGTTCACGCACCAATTCCGCAGCCTTATTTTCCCATGTGCTCAACGCCCCAGGGGCATCTGAAGGTCGCCCAAGCCAAACAACTCGGGGCCCGAAATCCTCCGCCACAAACGCCTTGTCTAGGAAATCCGGACCTTGTAATATAGAGTCACGCAGATTACGCGAAGGAGTCACGATCACCACTGCGCCATTCTGTCTGTCGACGTGGGCCAACGCTGCCTCGACCAGCAAAGCCAAAAGTAGCGACTTTCCAGTGCCTGCGTAAGCCTGGATGACCAAGTGATGATTGTCCGAGGCGTTGATGGTCTCTCCACGCATCGCTTCTGATCGTCCGACAGCTGAATGCGGCGCCTGCGCAATACCGACTGGATGAAGGCAGACGATGGAGAGATTCTTTTCTTCAGCACATTTCCTACTGCGGCTGGCGGTCCAGACCAAGGCTGCACTAGGGGAAAAGGCAGCCCGCA